ACACACTCAGCGCGATATATGAACAGCGCGTTCCAGCGCCAGCAACCCCGTGCCCGACAAGAAACGAACCAGCGACTTCACATGCGACCTCCTCGCAATACCTCTTGTGCTAACGTACAGAATGCTAACGTCGGCAACAAGCTAACGCCGGCAATTTGCTGACGTCAACTCCGATGTGGGGGCTTGAAGCGCCAACGATGTGACGCTTGTGTTATAACGCGAGGGCTGTGCCTGGACGGCGCGCCAAAGCTTTGGCGATGCGCTGACCTCGGATGCAGATTGCCATCAAGGTCGGGCCCGGCCCCAGACCATATATACCTTGGATTTGTAGCGGCATGTTGTCGAAGAAAACACTATCTTGCGTTCAGTATACATGTGTACCGGGGCCATCGTCGATGCGCGGTTTTCTGATCTTGATATGCGTCTGATCCTTGAGCCTCAACAAGCGACCACCCGATGTAGCGCCATCAAGGCACGGGTTGAAACTGCCTGCATGTTTCTTTATTCATTGTCTATCTCATGACGTCGCAACGTTCCCATAAATCATCCAGTAGACTTTTGCACACTGTAGTGCAGCTCCACTTACCTTCGCTGACAGGCGCTTGTTTACAGACCTGAAAAAGTAACATAACCATTCGGTGCGTGGGACACAACCCGACGAGGTATCCGTCGTGCACCACGCCACGCTCGTCTTCTTCCCCACATTGTCGAGTAGATAGCAGCCCTACTCACTGCATTGATTCTTGTAGCAGGCAAAATGACCACAGACATGCCCAACTAACTAATTATATATGCCCAGTCGTTGGTGCCCTCCGGTTGTTTCCGCCGGCGTGCCATATCGTCGTATCGTCGTCATATGGTGCACCAGCTGTCGCGCTCAACTTCGCCAAACGAGCGGCTGACGTTGTACCCAGCGTCCACGGGAAAAGGATGGCGATTACGGAGTCACTGGTTCTTTCTGCGGAAGGTGAACTTAAACTTCGTTGAAATAACTTTTCACGCTCGATTCGCCTTCTCACTTTTTGATTTGCCTCCAAGACCAACAAGATGGCCACGACTCAGAAGGAGCTCGGACAAATGGACCTCCAGGAGCGCGTCTCCTACATCCAGTCCGCGACCAAAGACAAGGATGCCGATGGTGACTACACCGACGCCAAGACGCCCGGTGAGCTCGAAGACGGCGCACTCGTTGCCGGTGGCGCGCTCTCGCTCGCCTCTCGTGAGGCCCTCGCGCTCTTCTCGCAGTACTTTGCCATCGGTATCCTCTACGGCATGTTGCCCGGCATGCAGTACTCGGTGTTCCAGAACTACTTGAAGATGGAAGGCTACCAAGTGTCGGC